AAGGTGTGTTTTTATTCTTTTAAATTACTTATTTCATTGTGTTTTTCTTAAAAAAATATATATGATAATTAACTACTATTTTTTAACTATGGCAATTGATTTTGCTATTTGTGCTATGAATAATTGTAATGTCTTTTCTATAATGATAAAATAAGGTCTTTAAATGAAGATTATTGAATTGTAAAGAGTTTGTTATATACTTAATGGATTGCTAATTTTGTTTTTGTTTAATATGCATGGTGAACCATGATTTAATATTAAATTTTCTTTTTGTTTTAAAAATAGTTTGGATAATATATGATGTTATTGTCTATTGGATATTTCTGATAATAGAGTCATAGTTTGAGTGAATTATAATTATCTTATTAACTATGATTGTGTTATATCTTATTATTAAAAAAAATTTCATCTAGTTATGCCTATCTTCCATTATATTTACTATAGTTTGAATTTTTTTATTCTATTATTACAAGAGACATGTAATAGCCCTACTATTATTATCATTATATGGATGCTTTCAAAGTGTGTACTACAACTTGTTTACCTAACAATCTAATAGTTACTAATATTTAACTTATATTGTTATTATCATTTAGGAAATTTGAAAAAGATCTTTAACTTAAAATAATGACTTTTAAAAGTTCATTGGTCAACTTCAATAACTTTAATTCAATTTGCATCGTGATGGCATTTGAGGAAATTTTGAGACCTTTAGATAAGAATAATAAATTTTAAAAATTACTTAGACAATTTCAACAACTAATGCTTAACATTTAAATTATAAAAAACACATGTAACTAAAAGTTAATTATAGTACAATATTGTTTGGTCATAGTATTGCAACTAACATGATATCCATCACATTTTCAAAAGTTGACAGGATCTCTTAGTTGATTTGCATCATGATTCTCTGTTTAATTGATGTAGTCCTAAATCAAGATAGTTGTAAAGTATATTTAAAGAAAAAATTAAAAAATTTAATATCTTGATTAAAGTTTATAGACAAGTGAGTGAAATTTTCTAAATACATAATTAGTTTCTTTTAATTAATTAATAATTAATACAAGTGGTGCATTTATGCAGTTATAAATTAATGTAATTGTGCTTTTCACTACCCTGGTCTCCAATCCTAACATATATACACACACTTGATAAGTCTAAAAAAATTTAACTGCTTGAAAATGACCTAATTTTGAACATGATAGATTGGAAATATAGACAAAAACAAAATAAAATGTAATCCTACAAGCAACGGTTTTCTTGTAATCTGTATAATAGAAATTTAAAATATATGATTTCTGACAAATAAAGAGGAAAAATATAATGAATGCATAAATATTTATGTGTGTGTAGTCAAATTATAAAATTAGAGAAAGAAATCTTGATAAAACAAGTGGAAAATGGTACATCTAAGAGGGAAAAAAAAACTAAATTATAGAAGAGTTGTTGGTTTATATAGACTGTAAGAAGATTAAATATGAAAATTTATTTGATAAATACAAAGAAAATACATAGAGTATAAAGAAAATATATTGATGATATTTTATTTATCAAAAAAAGGTGAAAGTTTTTAGTTTAAAGGGTCAAAGTTAACATGAAGTAGAGTATGATTAAAAATCACATCTTTTTTTATAGTTAAACTACTTTTAACTTGTACAAGAAAGGCAAGTGAACAATAAGGCTAAAAACAAATCATAATATAACCTAATATTTTCAACCAAAGGTTTTCTTGCAATTTATATGATAAAAATTTATTACATGTGATTAGAAATGAAGAAAAAGAGAAAAAATAATAAATGCATAAGCATCTATGTGTATGTATATTCAAATTATAAAATTAGAGAAAGAAATTTGGAAATATCGAGTGGAAACTAGTACATCTATGAAAAAAAAGCTAAATGATATAAGAGTTATTAATTTATATGGATTATAAGAAGATTAAATATGAGAATTTAATTGATAAATACAAAGAAAACATATGGGATATGAATGCACAATCATCTATCTATGTGTATATTCAAATTATAAAATTAGAGAAAGAAATTTGAAAACATTAAGTGGAAAGTGGTACATCTATGGGGAAAAAAACTAAATTATAGAAGAGTTACTGATTTTTATGGATTGTAATAAGATTAAATATGAGAATTTAATTGATAAATACAAAAAAAACATATGGGATATAATGAATGCATAAACATCTATTTGTGTGTGTATTCAAATTATAAAATTAAAAAAAGAAATTTGAAAACATCAAGTAGAAATGGTAAATCTATGGATAAAAAAAGAAACCTAAATTATAGAAGAGTTATTGATTTATATGGATTGTAAGAAGACTAAATATGAGAATTTAATTGATAAATACAAAGAAAACATATAGGATATGATGAATGCATAAGCATCTATCTGTGTGTATATTCAATTTATAAAATTAGAGAAAGAAATTTGAAAACATCAAGTGGAAAGCGGTATATTTATGGGAAAAAAACTAAATTATAGAATAATTATTGATTTATATAGATTGTAAGAAGATTAAATATGAGAATTTAATTGATAAATACAAATAAAACATATGGGATATAAAAAAGAGATTTTGATGAAATCTATTTGTCGATGAAAGATGATATTTTTTAGTTTGAAGGGTTAAAACTAGCATAATGAAGAGTATAATTGAATGGTAAGTAAAAGGAAAAAATTACACTTCTTTTTCTAGTTAAATTATGTTTAACTTGTACAAGAAAGGCAAGTGATCAACGAGGCCAAAAAAAGTCATAATATAACTTAATATTTTCATGAACATAAGCATATAAAGCTAAGAGGGGAAATTTCTTTTGCATCATTACTATATCTAGGAGATAACAAATGAGAGATATAAAACATGACATTTGACACAATTTGATGATCTCTTATAATTTATGATACTCCTAGATACTCAATATTTTATGTCATCATAAATATGGACATTAAGTGATTTAATGCTCTATTCAAAGATAGTTTTATAAGAATTATGATAATGTAATAAATCGTGTTATTGATTATCTTAATAATGATGGTTGTGATGATGATAATAATAATGGTGGTGATGACAGCTATAGTAACGATGACAATAATAATGATAACAATAATGCTAGTGATGAGGAAGGTGAATCATTTTCGAGGAGAGAGTTTGATTGTCGTAAACTAATATTATACATGGTCAAGGCTTTCTCCATGTATTATAATAATTATATATATAAAAAACCTTGTATGGTTTCATACAATATGGGTATGAGATGATTTAATGAAATATTACAACATTTGAAACAATGGTTAACATATTTAGGATGGATACAACAATATTGCAAAGCTTGTGCTTTGATTTAGAAACACAATATGATAAAAAGCTTCAAGAAAGATAAGTGTTATTGAAAAGGTGGGCATGTTTATGTATACATTACTATTAGGTGCTTCAAATAGGAAAGTTCAATAAAAATTTCAGCATTTAGGTGAAACTATTACTAGATACTTTAATGAGACTTTAAGAGCAATATATTCACTCATAGTAGATGTTATAAACTAGAAAACTTTGAATTTTAAAACACACCACAAGAAATTACAATGAATCCAAGATATATACTCTATTTTAAGGTAATTCTAATATTCTTTCTTTATCATTAATGCTAAATATAAATTGTTTGAATAATTGCATTTCAATCATTTAGACACTTATGCTTCTTGTTTTTCATGTAGAATTGTCTAAGAGTAATTGATACACTATATGTATTCAATCGTGCACACTTGTTAACACACTGTGTGATAAAATGCATATTTGGAGTATGGAAAAAAAGATTAAGAGTTTTACAAAATATGCTTGCATATCATTACAAAAACATGTTCATCGTGTAGTGGTATCAATGACACTATATAACTATATTAAAAGAAAGTCGTAGAAAGATGTAGCATTTAAAAAAATTTGATCATTATTTTAATTTTGTTTCTAATGATATTTTAACCGATATTGTTTCATATTTGCAAACTCATAAATACTAAAGGTCTTCTCAAATAGAATATGTTTGTTATAAGATTACATGTAATTTAATAAGACAATAAAAATATGATCATAATATCGCATTATTGTAGTTATGATGTATTAATAATTCAATATACATGTTCTTTTTACTCATTTTACTATCGACATCACTTTTAATTGTAGTTTTAACCTAATATTTTTTACTTGTTTTTATTCAACAACAATATCAAAAGAATTTTTAATCAAACCAATCAAATTAAATTTTTTAAATGTATTTTTTAAACCACAACCAAAAAAACCCTTTTAATACCAAAAGACTTTTTTTCCATCCCTCCATATTTTCCAAAGATAGTTTTGGCCCATTAGAATATCTACTTGCCAAGCACTACCGTACAAAATTTAAGACTGTTTTTAGTCATATCTTCGCAACTCATAACATGTGGAGAAGCAGAAGATTGATATGCATGAAAATTAAGTACGGTAAAATTCAAGCTCAATTTAGAATGACATGGTCAGGAGATAATTTTTATGGCCATAACAATGACTAGCCCTAGCAATGCATATCACTTGACTTTGATTATTTTTTCCCTTTCCTTTCTTCCCCTTTTTTTTTAAAAAAAAAAAAACATTTTTGAGAAACGGAAGGCTTGGATGTTCAGATGCTATCAGCTAAGGCATAATTTCAACAGGGGAAGACTACCTTGTTCCAAATTAAGGTGAAACCTCACATGGGGCTAAACTTTACAAATTCTCAGAACTTGAAGTTTCTTGACATTAAATTTAGTTTCCACATTTTTATCTTAACCTTTACTTGCACCCCTCGTAACATTAACAGTTTGGCCATCTTTCATGACACTAGGAACTTACAATCAGCCCTTAAACAAAGAGCAAGAAGGAACTTTTTTTAACCAATGTTACAATAACAATATATAACAATGATTCTTGTTGATGTCATACATTTGAAAGTTACTCAAATACGAAATTTTTTCTTTGGCTAGACATCCTTTGCCTTCAAAGGAACATAGTCATCATAACCTGCATCGAGGCGATCCAAAGTCGTAGACTTGTCGATGTTTTCATGGTGATATGACTTGCAAACAAAGTAGGTCACCGTTTGAATAACAAGCTCAAACAAAATCAACAGGACAAGCAACAAGAAACAAATAATACCGTATGACACCCTATTGACTATTCCTAGCGACGATCCTTCAACAAGCTTACTAAATTCTATTTTCATGATTACATAAGATATAGTCATCGTCAGAAATATAACTCCCATGACCTTTGTCTTCCCTCTTACAAGTGCCTTGCTCTTGATCATGGCCGTCATCGCAGATGCTTCTTCTGAAACAGATACAACACTGGCAGTTTGCCAAACAAGGCTAATATAGACAAACCCCATGAAGAACAACACTAGTAAAAAAAAACCAATAGCAAGAATATAACGATTGATCATGAAGGTTCTAGTAACTGCAATTGTTAGCAGTGTAGCCATGGTACAAGCAAATATTGCAGCGAAAGCACAGGCGGAGATGATCACAAGCCTCTTCCAAAATCTAGGCACAACACGCATCACCATCTTGAAAGTCACTTCTTGCCCTGTAGAAATACAAGCTATGGTGTAAACAACTGCAGCAGTTGACAGAGGAGAGAAAAGGAGAAGGAAAGTGATGTATGCAGCCTTGTAAAACAAAAGTTGGATCCATCCAGTGGAGTTGGGAAGACTTAGTTCGATTTGTTCTGGGGTACCCGCTTGCGTTTGCATCCGAGGCACTTGTACTACTTCAATGATTTTTGCAAATAGAGCATTTGATACCTTCATGTTTGCTATGAAGACAAAAGACGTGGGGAGGATAAAAACAAGGGTTATCTGGGAGAAGATTGTTTTCCTTGAGAAGATAATCTTGCAGGCTTCCTTGTAGATGCCGAAGAGACCAAGAAATTGCATCTCTTCTCGTTTTTTATCCATGATTAATCAAGTTTCCTGAGTGGGATTTTTATTGAAGAAGGGAGGTTGATATAAGCAGCAGCTGTGTTGGATTTGGGTCTCAAACTAACCAGTCCAGACCTCAAATAAAGGGATCCGCCTAATTCTCTCATCACGAAACTGACTTCTTAATTAAAATGTTGATAAAAATGGAAAATATAAAATATTCACAACAATTTATTTTCTGTATGTATATTTTGTGGAAAATTAGCCTACAGCTCAATCACTTTCCCCTTCTTTTCATATTAATTTTATTAAATAAAAATAATATGATACATATCTACACACACAGACACAAGCTTCTATTTGTCCTCAATTACCGATACATACAATTAAGAGACAGACATATGTTCATTTCAATTGAAAATCTACCTCGTAAAAATCAATTAAACTCAACATGTTTGTCTTAACTCATAAATACAACAAGAAGTGGACATTATTTTTTTTTTAGTGGGAATAACTCATCCTATTTGAATTTTGAAAGTAGTTGATGAATTAGAATTTTCAAAATAAAAACAACATGAATTTTCGTATTGAAAATTTTACATGTTTGTCCATCAACTATTTGCTAATCTCGCACCATAACGACATAGAATCTTTTTAATTTTATTTAGTTTGAATTGTAATAACAGTATATACTACATGGATGACATGGACTCTTTGTTTTTTTTTAATGAACAAAACGATATGTACTAAATATTTAGTTTATATTGTTGCTAATGTCAAAATAACCTAGGTCACTATCATAAAATTAATAAATATAAATGAAAATATTAATTGAGTGTTTTTGTTAGTAAATTATAGTAAATTTTATTAACGAAAATATTCTCTCAGTATATACTAATAAAATTACAGTGAAAAAAACAAAACAAAACAAAAAAAAATACAATGATACATCGTTTATACTAACAACATTACTGATGGAATTAATTCCATCGGTAAAATCGTTAGTAAATTGTTCACTTCTTCCTGACATTGTTTATTATATTAATTACAAAGAGAATCATCGATAAAACATTCCATCGATATTTTTCAAATAGCACTGGAACTGTTTACTTCCCAATTGTACTGTTAATATTTGTTCTTTACAGGAGAAATCACCAACGGATTAAAAAGTCGTCGGTGATATTTGGTGGGTTTCTAAAAATTTTTGAGTAAATTAAAATTTTAAATTAAATATTACCTATAAAATCACTGACAGATAGAAAAGTCGTCGATGATATTTGACGGTAATTGAAATTCTTTTATTAAATTAAATATTACAGATGAAATCATCAATAGAATGATTAAAAATATTAATATTTAATTATCTATCGATAAAATTATCGGTAACATGCCCTGATAAATAGAATCCCTCATTTCACAATAGACAAACTTGTTCTTCTTGTTCTTTTTCTTCTTCCTTTTGTGTCATAAACATTAACATCCCTTTCTTTCTTTCTCTTCTCTTCTCTCCTCAACTCCTCTTCTCCTCCACTCTCATATATGTCTTTTTCTCTTTTTTTCTTTTCTTTTCTCAGATTTTTTTAATTAATATACTTTATGAATTGGTTTTTTTTTCTCTTCTCAACTTCATTCACAACTACATTAAGGTACGGATTTTCTTTTTTCTTTTTTCTTCTTTCTTTTGTGTTTTTCTCTTTATATTTGTTATTTTATTTTTAATTTTTTTTATTCTTAATAATTGTATGAATGTTGTTGTAGGATTTCTTTTTCATATGAGATCAATGTTGTTGCTTTTTTTTTGTTATTTATTTGTTGCAAATTTTTTGAGTTGATTTTCTTCTTTTTTTTTTATACAAGCAACTAAATTTTGAGTATCATGAAGTGTTTATTTATATTAATTTAATTAGTTTTATTAAATAGATTTTTTAAAAAAATATTTTTAAATAATCACCGATTGAATTGCAAACTGTATTTTTTTTTTATTATATGACAATTTCCTCAAGGAAAATACTGATGGAATGAAGCAGGAATTTTTTTTCCCTCATTTTTCGTTTGTAAAACCATCAGGTTTTTTTTACCAACAGAATTAGTGACAGATGATGGAATTATCAAGAAATATTATTTTGATGGATGTATTCCGTCAATGAATTAGTCGGTAAAATTTTCACTAACGAAATGGTGACCTCACTCTAACAGAAAAATTCTGTCAGTAAAACTATTAAATATTATAATGGGTATTATCATTAGACAAGAAATGTCCCTTTTCTTTAGCTAGTTCCACCTAACTCCTTGGAAAGTAATATTGCTAGAAGCTATGGAGCTAGAAATTAATCAAATCTCAAGCCTTCAGTTTTATAAGAATATGTAGATTAAAGAAGATTCTTGAATATTTAATATTGCTTTAGAGTTCCAAGATTATTGACTAGTTATATGAAATCGAAGATACAGTTACTCTAAAGCATTCTATTTAAAATAAGTTACATTGTTGCTTATCTTTTATTCCTAATAATTGTTGTGCCTAATCTATCGATACTCTATCTACATTGATAAGAATGAGTCTACTGCAATGAGTAATTTTATATGCTGTGAGGGGGGAAAGTCTTATGTTAAAAAGAAATCGCTACTTACTATTATGGTTACTAGAAAACCCTAACTAGCATGCAGAGCTTTCAGGTAAGAGACTAATTATATTAAAGGGAAGATATGATCATCCTAAAGCATCCTACCTAAAATAAGCTACATTGCTACTTGTTTTTTGAATCCCTAATGGTATGTTGTGTCTGATCTACCAATGGTCTACTTACATGGATGAGAATTGATCTATTGCAATAAGTTAAACCCTGGATAGATGATTTTGTTTAGACAATAATGGTCTATGGGTAATAATATGTTGAGATTCATTTATCTTATAGTATTAGGGTTCACTCATAATTTTTTCTGAAAAAGGATTCCACGCCCTAGTCATAAAATATCCAAACAATAATTATTATAGGTTGATTTACTTAGTGATATGATCTAATGACAAATGTTTTTGGACTTACTAAGGGAAATTAATATCCATGATTGACATTTAGATGTCATCAATAGATAATTGACTTAAAGACTTGAAATTTTAAAATCACGAGACATCAAGATATTATTTATTATTAATATTTAAGATAATAGCTTGTTATGAGTATATTTATTTGAAACATTATGAGTGGATAATAAAATATTTATTTTTTTATATGGTCTTTTTAGAAAAATATGTTTTTTAGAAGGGTTTTGGAATGTCTGCTTATAAAAACCTTTTTAATTTGAGTCAAATCTCAATAAGATTCATAAACAAGTTATAAAAACTCAATATAAAAACATGAAATTTGATTAATATGTTTTTATTTTTTCTATTTTTTACAAAAAAAATAAGGACATGCATGCAAATGTAAAACAAGAATATGAAAATAGTATGTTAATTACAAAACTTGCATGAACACTAACTAAATGCAAATATAAATACTTTTTATTTTGTGAGAAGTTTGGCCAAAACACATGGAAATTGATAGACACCTTTTTAGCATGATTATGAAAATAATGATAACCACAAGAAGCATAAAAAAAATCTAAGATAACAATTTAATCTCACGAATAAAATATCTTAAGTCATTTTATTCATTTTACATCATACAAGCAAGCAAAAACACATGTCATAATATTTCATTCATAATCAACAAAGCATGCAATATAAGGAAAAAAAAAACCTAACTTTTATCATTCCACATCTAGATTACAAGTGAACCTAGAAACATGAGTTTTGGTTTACTTTCATGTATTTTTTTATAACCAAAACCATCATATTTATTCTAATATTTTATATATTAAAATAAAAGGCATGTAACAATTAAATTAAATAGAACTAAACTTTAAAAATCCAAACTTTAAATTTCCATCCATTTATTTATCACATATTTGGCCATTATTTTTTATTTGTTTTTTATTAAAAAAATGCACAATATCTAAGTTAAACCTAACTAAGCCTAAAAACACCATTTTTTGACTTGTTCATGCATTTTACAATAAAAAAGAAACATTTTACACTATATTTTCCATAAACTCTAAAAAATAAAAAAGAAAGAAAGAAAGATGTAACTTACATCAATGATAGTTTTAGCCGAGAGGGGAGGTGTTGTAGAGGCTTTTAGTGGCTACCACAATAAGTGGTTGGTGGTGAAGATGATTATAATGAGTTTTTTTTTTCCCTTTTCTAGACTAAGGTGTTTCATTTCTCCTTGATTAGTGATTTCTTTTACTATTTTTTTTTCTTTCTTTTTCTTTTTCTTTTTACCCTATGAAACTCTATGGCTCAAAATGAACTAATCTAATGACTCAAAAACCAACCTTTCCCTTTATACCTTATTTAAATTTTTGGTGTTTTTGTATGATTTTCCTCCCTTGTTTTTTTTATTCTCTTTCTTTCATCACTTTCTTCTACCATCTAGATAAGTTAGTTTAAACTCAAACCTTCTACTCTATTATCTCTCTTAAATTTAGGTTTTCTTCCTTTCTAGGATTTTCTCCTTTCTTTCTCACCATACCTCTCAATTTATATACAAGAAAAAAGGTCTTAAAACCTTTCTAAGTGGGATAAATCTTACTCATCCACTATTATCGTACACTTTATATAACATGCTCAGGTTGGCTATTCTGACACATGTTTTGCCACTATAAAAAGATAATAAAGTGGATTTTAGTTAAAGATAAAGTGCAGGTATAGGGTAAAAGGTAATAGTGTCTCTTATCAGGTTTGGGATGTGTGAGAAAGAGAGAAATTTATACTTCAAACCTGGCCAAAGCACCTAAAAAAAAAATGTGATAAAACACATGCATGCATGGAAGTATACATGGGAGATTAAAGACAATCTCTACCATACATTTATGTAATGCCTTTTATTACCTTTTAAATTAACAAATCGTGTTATGCACCATTTCATATAAATAACTTCTCTCTTTTTATACTCTTTTTTATTATTATTTTTATTAATTTTAATTTAGTTCCTACA